GGGACAGTTTCATGTTTCATAAAATTATCCTTAATGATAAAATGTGTCAAGAAAGCCGCAGAAGATCGAATCCCGCCAAGTGTTGTGGATTCTGTATAGCAGGAAGCTATCAAGCTAGCATGTGAAGGTCGGTGTCTCTACACAGAAAGAAAGCACGGCGAGGCAACTGAGGTCATCCTCCAACAGGAAAGCTATAATGTCGCTGTAAAATATGTCACAAAGTTTATATTCTATTGATGTGTCTAAAATAATTTAGTTATCTCCTCATTATATTTCAAAAAGTTCCAAAAGAATTGAAAGAAAAATGATAATACATAATTTTTTACACATGGAAATAAAACAGAAAATAAAAGAAATTCGAGGGAAAAATCGTGTTGGGTTTGAACAGCTGCACTTTTGGTATTTTTCCTTAAACAGAACTGAATACACTAATCTAAAGCAATAACTTATTCTAATTTTACGGTGCACCGACAAAGCAAAGTTCATAAGGCGCCGAGACAGGAAAGGAGATGTTGGCTAACCTTGGATGTTAAAAGCATCCAAGCAACACAAGGGGTCAAAACCACTTCACATGCTGTATAGACTCAAGAAACTGGAAACCATATGGCCGCCTTATACGATCACACGGGGATAAACGATGTCAGCAATTCTTATGTCTCTACCATTATTAAGGGCAATCCTCAGCCACAAGGGGCATTATTTTTTCTTAAAATATATAAGTGTAATACTTACATAGTATCGAGATAGACATTGAGATGGAGTTTGATTTTTATACTGTTAGCCATATTACATTAAATACTCGTAGCGATCATCTGTTTGAGGATCTGGAAACAATCTTTAAACAACTTGGATAGAAAGTATGATAAACAAGATCAACAAAGAAAGGCGGCGTTCAATGAAAGCAACCCTCACACGACCCAGCAATAAGAACAAAAAATTGTTCTACTAAAGAGTAGACCAATAATATTTAGCATTATGTATTGATCTCAAAAACAGCTACACATTCTTGGTATTCTTGATTATTTGTGTAATTGTTCTCTTTATTCAATTGAACATGAAACTTTCATTCTAGGTGATTTTAACATTGACTCACGGTTTACAGGGCACATGTGTTACTTTGTGACTATGTGGTTGAGGCATCGAACATTTTAAAATTCACGTTTTAACTGTTTTTTGGTAATACGTTCCCAATTCGGGAAATGCGTATTAAACAACGAACAGAAGGAGATAATATAATGTTTAAAGGAAAGAGGTAGTGATTTATTTATTTATTTATTTATTAATTTATTTATTTTTCAAGCTTTACTGGTGAAGGAAGTCTCGTGAATTATTTCAGGCACAATTTAAGCGCACCTGAGTAGATCCAGCTGAATAAATTCAATTCAAACTTACATGCGGGATTCGAACACATAGCGGAAAGAGACAAGGGTTTGAAGTCAATACCTTTAACGTTCAGCTATAGACACCCTAAGTGATTTTCATTTATACCACAAATAAATAACCGAAGAAAATTACCGAAGAGAACTTTAAAATATGTAGAGACAGAGCAAATGACCTCATTTGTAAAGTTTAAAATAATTATTCAAGTAACTCTTTTGAAAATCATAAAACTGATTCTTATCCTATAAAGAATTCGGTCCACTGCGGATGATCACGTGACCGAAATCGTACAAGGGGCTCATAAAATGGCGGTCTGAACGCTCGGTAAAAGCAGTGAAATTGAGGTAAGCATACAGTTAACGTTAAATTTCTATGTAAAACTAGGCCGCACGGAACCCCTGTATAAAAACCACATACTGTTCTGTTATTTGTTACTTTGTAGCTCTCGCTGTTTAGGCCTGAAAGCCGAAAAAGTTATTTTGGGTGATAAGTACAATGGCCGAACAACTACTAAAATGCGTTGTTTTCAGTAAAAGAAACGCATTTTGAGCAAATTTAGCAATGACATCTTGTGCACAATTGCAAGTTTGCCGTCATGAACAATACCCATCCTTTGTAAAGTTGCATAACGAAGTTGTGCATCTTTTTAAAAAAAAACGAGTACAATGGTCGAACCAAATTAAATGAGTACAATGGCCGAACTATTTTATTGCCTGTCCTATTTTGTCAATTTTTTCATTGAATTATGCTTGTTTCTCGCTTCTTGTCTTTTAAATCATACAAATATAATATTTGAAAAGAAGTATTAAATTAAATGAATTCAGTTTGCTTGCTATGCATTCTTATCTTAATAGTATTCTGCTTTGATAACACACGTGTACATCAGCTTAAAAGTATTTACAATAATTCTGCTCAAAATGCGTTTCTTTTACTGAAAACAACGCATTTTAGTAGCTGTTCGGCCATTGTACTCATAACCTAAAACAACTGTATGCTTACCTCAATTTCACTGCTTTTACCGAGCGTTCAGGCCGCTATTTTATGAGCCAATTGTACGACTTTGGTCACTTGATCATCATCGAGTTGTTCCTCTTTTCGAAAAAAAATAATAATGCTGAAATTATTTAAAAAGACGACCGATTGTGCCAAAATAAGTGCAAAACATACAAATACAAAGACAACAACACAAAAAAAATCATAGCTTCAACAATGTTGAAAGTATAAATAAGGAAAAAAAGGATCTGCGCGGTCTCCATCTTACAACACTAAAAACATGTTGTAGAAATTACAAAACCGTAGTGTATAAGGCTCAGTATAATTACTTTAGACAAAATTTAAATATAAACTCATGTTACAGCGTACATTTCACGAACATTAATGAAAATGTATCGAAGATTAAGATATCATGTGCACTGACCGTGTACAATAGCTATAGACAGGTTAATAAACTCACTCTAGAATTTTTTAGGGTTGTTTATTGTGTGTGTGCGTGCGTGCGTGCGTGCGTGCGTATGTGCGTGTGTGTGTGTGTGTGTGTGCGGGCGGGCGGGCGGGTGTGCGTGCGGGCGTGCGGGCGGGCGGCCGGGCGTGTGCGTGTGTGTGAGGTTTGTTTACCCTCGCCACCGGAAAGAGACCATATAGGCGAGCATAAATATTATATAGGTTTCATTCCGGGTTTATATACTATATCTAGATGTTTTTCCACAGACACTTGTCTTATACGTCTATCAGATTTTACAAGATAAAATATGTATGAAACTCATACTTATGGTTGTTTGTAATGGATATTCAACAAACTTTGGTACAGTGGACCATTCAGTTCTGTTAAAGAAATTAGAAGCTATAAGTAGGTCTTAGCGTTGATATTTTGCAATGGTTTAGGTCATATTTGTCTGACAGTTAACAACTTGTGGTTGTATCTGGTACCCTTTCCTGTCAAGGAAATGTAACTCGTCGTGTTTCCTAAGGGTCTACCTTGGGTTGTAATATATATGAATGATATGCAGTCTATGGTTAGAAATAAACGCCTTCTACACGCGGATGATTCTACCGTCCTTGTTGATATTATTGAAAATGAACTGACAGATGATCTTTAATCTGTCTGTCAATGGTAAATTAACAATTAACCATATTTTCACTTATGTAAAACAGAGACAATATTATTTGACTCACAACCTGAGTTAAAAAGAGGGTATCTATTAAAGGAGCCCAATCCAATATAGGTAAAAAAAACTAAACACATGAAAGTGTTAATAGTTCTGACATAAATCAAGCGAATCTATCCGCAAATGGTAATCAAGAAATATGCTCAAGAGCTTTATTGAATATCGGATTCTGTGCCATTCATAGCCCAATTTGAGCCAAAGGCGTTGCAACGCTTTTCATTTTTGGGATATTTTGCGAAATAAAATATAAAATAAAATAATTATTCTGGACAAACGGGATGAAGGACTGTTCTTTAAAAGATCCACACTAGCTATTGGTCAAGACCTACATCAAACGGTATACAAATTTCGCAAAAATAGTTCCAGTCCAAGTCTAGTCAAAAAAACTTCAGTTGAGTGTAAAGCCAGTTAAATAGAGTTGATACACAATCCTTCCTTAATTTTTGGACTGTGATATTCCACATCATGCATCTATGTCGTTTTTTTCAGTTGTACCAATGCACCACAATGGAATTATGAGATTGAGTATTAATTGTTAGTTATGTTCATTGCACAATCTATCTTTTCTACTGCATAAACAGTCATTACAGAGTATTCTCCCATATATAGATATTTAGTGTGAAGTTTGATTATACGTACCTGCATCTCATGGTAATGCCTTACATTTGTTTCACAATTGTTGTAAAGATCTGACAGTGCACATTATGTAACAAGCAGTATGCCTCCAGATGCCTCAAAAAAAATTTTAAAAAAAGTCAACCTTAAGAAAAATGTGTTAAAATGGAAAGAAAGTAAAAATATTTACAGTTCAAGTAATGATATAATTGAGCCGTGTCACGACAAAACCAACATAATGCGTTTGCGACCAGCATGGATCCAGACCAGCCTGCGCATCCGCGCAGTCTGATCAGGATCCATGCTGTTCGCTTACAGACCATAACAAGTAAAGAAACTGATAGCGAACAGCATGGATCCTGATCAGATTGCGCGGATGCGCAGGCTGGTCTGGATCCATGCTGGTCGCAAACCCATTATGTTGGTTTTGTCATGACACGGCTCAATTATATATTATATGCAATAACTGTCTGATTGTTTGCATTATTTATCACCATATTTCTACTGCTAAGGGCAATTTTTCGCATATTTTGTCATTAATTTGGTAACATAAATGAACTGAAAGCGCCGTTTGCAATGTATCAAAAACATCTTTGTTCACTTTAGAATAATTTACTTTTTAGGATCTAATACAATTTCAAAAGTTTCATTAAAAAAAGTATAAGTCTAGAGACATGTTGCTTTAGATGACCATGCCCTGGGTGATGCGTTTGATGGCATTCTTGGGCGACTGAAACGGGCGGATGGGGGTTAGTACATTCCTGTGTTGGGAGATACAGCACGGTGATAAGAGATATATGTTTTCGATGTTTAAAAGTAACAAAATCTACCTTTAACTCCTTACTGTAAACTAGGATACTTGTCGAAAAGCAAGCAACGATGAAGCGAAATACAATAATCCATTGTTTTGTCCTTATTCCAGTAAGTTTTTCTATTTTGCTTCGTTTTAGTGATTTTATGTTGTGTTGTATTGTGCTATTTGTGTATATTTAAAGCTGAAATTATTATACTCGTTAAATAAAACAATATTATTCAACTCGTGCAGTAAATTAAGTATGAATCTACACTAAATATCTTCTATTTCCTCGTTGTTTATATTGAGTGTATGATGAACCAACTATAGAATCTACCTAATTTTTATTTTTACAAGCTCGGAATTTATTTCAGTTTGATTGTGTACAATGTATTTATCTCATCATATAGATAAACAGTACAATGTTGGCAAACTTATTTGGTTTATTTTTAATTCATAATGATTCATTTATTATCATATGAGTTAGTGTTATAATATTAAAGTATTTGGATCCAATTGGAAATAAGCTTTAAGCTTAATAATCCTAGGGTAACATAGAACGTACTACTTATTTTTATAATTACTTTTGTTGCATTTTTTGTGTGTTTTATGTGCATCTTGATATATGTTACAATATAGTATGTGTTTATGAATATTTCCCTGTTATTTGATTTCTAAATCACTTGAGCAATGAATACTGAATCCGAAGGCAGTGGCCCTAAAAGAGACGTCGAGGAAGGGAACTAGTGTGCGTGAGTCCTAACACGATGACACTACTTAAACGGCGGTACCCTTTGCTGGCACAAGCGCAGCACTTTTAAGGGCTAATCTCCTTCATTATTGTCACTGGTTACTGAGCGTTAAGGTACACATTTACCACTGTACATTGACCTAATTTCGGTTCAAAATTCATTCCTTTGGTTTATATTCTGTAAACATTGCTCACTACTTAGTGCGTCAAAATTTACTCTCTAATGACATGGCTGGTGAGAATTCCGGGGTCCGTTCTCAGGACGATTGACCGTCATTAAGCATAGACTTTATTAATGTATGTATGCATGTATTCGCGTGTGTGTGTGTGTGTGTGTGTGTGTGTGTGTGCGTGTGTGCGTGTGTGTGTCTGTGCCACTACTATTTACAACCTTTCTTCTATATTAACATTAATCATATCATACAAAATATTACGTGTTTGACCCTTTGACAAACGCATTGAGTCATATTTGATAATTCCATTGGCAATCCGGATGTATTTTAAAGTTATCTTAATTCAGTTATCTAATCAAATCATATTACATACAGAAAGAAGCTCATGTCGGACAATGTTTAATAAATATTTATTAAAGAAGATCTTTATATCAATATCTTCTAATCAAGCAGCAACTGTTTGAATTGAGTTATTATGCTAACGCTTTACATATTATTACATAACAGATCATGCGCATGATGAATTGTGAACTAACTGCCAAAAGTAAGTTATCAATAATTGTTTTTATTTGAGAACTATGTATTTCTTTTCCTCTTATTAATATATATATATATATATGGACAACATTAAATAACACTATCGTCAAATTTCTCCATCACCTTAATCGTATTCAAAACGTAATTGCTTAAATACCACGACTTATATTTTTTACTTGATATTTTTAAAAATAAGCCAAACCTTGTGCTGTAAAATGATACGCTTTGACTTTGTTGATTTTACCTCTTGAATATTTATAATTCAGGTCATTACGGTACAGAGTTCATATTTGGTATGATTCCAAATTATGCTGATGTAAGCATTACAATTGACATTGCCTCAGATTCTAGTGGATCTTTACAATTGTATGTTCCTTATTTAAATATAAATCGTACGGAGACACTGAGAGTTGGACATACGACATTAAACATTAGTAATTCTTTAATAAAGCGAGGAAACTTCAGCGAGAAACGAGCAATACAGATTAAAACCAACGTACCTGTTGCTATATTTGTCACTAGTTACCATAGCGATAGCCCAGACACATTTCTGGCATTACCGACACACTCCCTCGGCAAAAAATATGTTATTGCTTCTTATCAGCCACTTCGGGGCTATGTGTCCGAAACTGCAATTGTAAGTTCATTTCCAAACACAACAATAAATACAAATCATCAAGGTTTAGTGACTTTGGACAATTTTTTTGTTTTACAAACTCAGAGTATGTCTGACCAAACTGGGTTAATCGTGTCTGCAACAAATCCCGTGTCCGTAATATCAGGCACTTCTTGTTCAAATATACCAATTGCTTCCGGTGGCTGTGATACCATTGTTGAACAAATGATTCCAGTCAGTATGTGGACAAATATCTACATAATCCCACCTCTGCCACCTTTAACTGGTTATTTGGCACGAGTTCAGACACTCGATTCATTATATATGTGTGTACAAAACAGCACTAAAAAAACATGTCAGCACATGGAACAGAAATCATACAAGGAATTTCGTCTTGGATCAGAACCAACAGTTGTATATGCAAATGATTCATTAACATTCAGTGTGACACAATATTGTATGAGTCAAAATATTGATGGCATACACAGTGGTCCTTTTATGACCGTGATCCCTGGAATACAGAATTTTCTGACCAAGTACAGTTTTGTCGTTCCTCCAATATATTATAAGTTTCATAACTATGTAACAGTGATAGTAAAAAAGCCAGATGTGTCCGGTTTAAGATTAGATGGAAGAGCTTTCCAAGCTAACTACAATTACACAGTGAGCAGACCTCTTGATCATTATGTTGTGCTGGTAACTACCATCAATACGGGTTACCACATATTAAACAACAGTGATCCTACAGCTGAATTTGGAGCGTTTATGTACGGGTTAGCAAATAATGCGGGCTATGGGACACCACTAGGGTTCGGTTTTAAAGACGGTAACGTATGGAAATATTTGTATAAATATATCTTTATAAAAATGTTAACGCAATATTTATTATTTCATGTTACTTATTTCATGTTACAACGCAAACCAAATGTATTTTAAAATGAATTTAAGTGTATGATGTTTTAAGATAAGATTGTGCAGTTATACGTACCATAGAATTATAGTATTCATTATTATTATTATTATTATTATTATTATTATTATTATTATTATTATTAACAAAAAATATATAGCTTTTTTATCTTTAAAGTTAACTGTTGCTGATCGAATTAATGAATTGAAAGAAAAGCAATTTACAAACAGAGTGAGTAGTTAGTAATTGTAGCCAATACCAAATTTATATGACATAGCGGTTCATGTAAGATCATTTCCCGAAAAGTGTTTAAAAAGGTTTATATTTTTATTTCTAAAAACAAGATTTTATTGTTTATAGAGAATAAAAGTTCATCTCCGAATGCACTAAAATGTTACCACTGTGACGAAATGTCAAGTTTAGAAGTTTGCGATGCTGTCAAAACCTGCTCGGATGCCCAGGTAAGTAAAATACTTTAATTCCATGTTCGTGATCAAATGGAATTATGGAATGCCGGTAGGGACATGCCACTTTGCTTATTTGCCAACTACTTAATTGCTTATTTGCTAATTGCTGATTTGCCAATTTGCTTATTTGCTGATTTGCCAATTTGCTTATTTGCTAATTGCTTATTTGCTTATATATATAAATTTTTATGCTTTTATCAGGCGACACGTCCGACTCGCAAAGTTCTTGTTTGATATAAAATAACAAGTCTTTGTAGACTTTATTTCATGCTCATGAACATATATCATGTTATTATGTTTATAAAGTTTTGTTAATTATATCTTGTGACAATTATGATCAATCCATCATTACCTAGAATATAGGTAGAAAGACAGATGGATACATTTTAATCAATTTCGAAAAAAATAAATTCAGTTTCAGAAAGTAGTTGTTTTTTTAATTATCTTGAGTTTCAGTTTTAGCTCCACTATTCAGAGAATAGGGATGCTGTTCTACCCACCAATGCATTGGTCTTCTTGGTAACTTGTTTTCTGTCATATCTCTGTTACTTTTGCTGATTCATGCATCTTAAATTACTGCAACTTTGCATAAACTTTGCGTTACAAGCATGCATACAAAGTACATGTACATGAAGAAGCTGTGCCCGTTATATACTGAATGTCAAGGTCACCAATGTATTGTACTGAGAAGCCTTTGTTTTTCTGTCATATCTCTGTTACTTTTGCTTATATCGAACTGTAACTTCACATAAGCATTAAATAGGCAGCATGCATACACAATATTCAAAAAGGCTTTGTCCATTATACCCTAGGTCATGATCATGGTCATGGTCCCCTGATAGCATGTTAAAGTACAACATGAAGAAATGGAAAAGTGTGACCAAATTTCAAAAACATTGAACCAAAGCGAAATGTTGATGGACACACAGACTCAAGTGATCTTCAAAATCTTACAGAGCTAAAAAACGAAGCCTATTGCTTAAAGTGCAAAGACAAAACACCCGTGTTAAGCATTTACCAAATGTATCATTTGTTGATACTATGTGTTTCGTACCATAAAATGATGCCCTCTGCGACAAATCTGCTGAGAATAACGACATTTTATATGCCATAAAATAAGAAATAGTTTTGTTTTCAAGTTCCTTTATTTCAATCTTTACCCAATAATTTTTCACTTATATATGACTAATCAAGTGTTTATTATGCCATCAACCTCTGACTTAAGCTGCCACAAACAGATCTATAGCTGCAACACATTATAAGGCATGCCTCAAGCACAGATGCTGGCGGTCAGATCCTGCCCCTAACGCTGATACGCGTCTGTAAAACACTATATCAAAATTATTTTAATATTTATTTAATACGAATTGGACATTTGTTACAACGATAAAAACCATTAAGTACTTTATTGAGACTTAATTGGGTGGTATATGGTATTTGTTCATACCGGTATATGTAAAAATTGCTTGAAAACTGTTTTTAAACGATGTCCAATTCGTTTTTAAATATTAAAATATTTTAAAATGAGTGTTTACAGGGGCACGTATCACGTTGGGGTACGGGATCAGACCCCCAAGCGTCTGTGTTCTCAAGGGACATGTCAGCCATCAGTTGTAGACATATATCTGCGTAGGCATCACTGCCAACTAAATTCATTGATCAACAGTAGTCTTGGAAAAACACTGAATTTACAAGGAATACTGTTGGTAAAAGTTAACAGATCTGACTCAACTGGTGGTCTGTAGTCAGATTTTCCATATATATTTCCGGCACAGTGTAAAGTATTTCTATTGCAAAAAAGCAAAAATTAGCAATGGCAAATAAGCAAAATACGTAATCCAGCGGTTAACAAATAAGCAAATTAGCAATTCAGCAATTGGCAAATAAGCAAATTTGTCGTTAAGACTATCAGCCATTGGCAAATAAGCAAATCGGCAATTAGCAAATAAGCAATTCAGCAATTGGCAAATAAGCAAATTGGCATGTCCCTACCGGCATTCCATAATGTTCTTCTTTAACATGTCAATTAATGAAAAAAGTGGTTTATTCTTATCATATCATTTATCACCTTAACCAATGATTCATCAAATTAAATGATGTACCAAGTGTTATTTTTTTCATTTCTATTAGAAATATGACAATGTATAAATATAGCCTACGGATTTTAATGAGCATAACAATATGCTTAATCTAATGATGATTACTTGTTAATGTGGTTTAGGGATTGTCAATAGGTTTTGTAACAACTTTATGATAACAATGCTTATCTGACCTCAAATGATGTTTAATTGAAGAATGAGAGATGCGGGTATTCTTCTCTCATACGCATCCCTTTTTAAATAAAGCCAATTCACGCATAGAATCCACGATGCCGCAATGTTGATTGAAAAAATATTATATGTTTCAATTGCATCTTACCGGTCCTTTCTGTCGAACTTCTGATAGAATCTCGACAACAAAAGTAAGAATACACAGAACGGTTTTTCGGTCTAAACAAAAATTGTGAACAAAAAGTAATAAGGCTACGGTATTTCGGTCTGACCTACGCTAAGAAACTAATAGTAATTTAATCCGTATTAAGTCCGAGGTTATCATGAACTTGAAATGTGTCATCATGCCACGGATGCCCCCGCATGCAGCCAAAATTTCAAATGTTATAATATTAGTTCCAAATTTGTTTGCACAAATTATTTTTTTCATTCTAGGTTCAAAGCACTTAAAACATTTCAATGTTAACAAAAACCATTTTTATACAATGTTCAAGGCACTGAAATTATTCAGTCTTAACCTTTTGAAAATAGCATATTGCATATTTGTAGCCAAAATAATGGCTATATACATTTCCACATGAGTATGAGTGCTGAAACTGAAAGTTCAAAATTTCTCCAACATTCAGGAAAGATAAGTTTGTCCAAAATCATTGAACCCACGACCAAATTCAAACTTAAACTGCTTATTCCTAAGATGTATCTATATTATTTTCAAAGTAAAAGGGACATAACTCTGCCAAAAAATCATCGAACCATGACCAAATTCCAACTTGATCTGCGCTTCTTTTGACATATCCATATGTCAATTTTGAGTTGAATATGTAACACTGTTGGGTTGATAATAAACAGAAACTTTAAATTTCATATCATTTTCAAAGTGAAAGGGGCATTACTCTGCCAAAAATCATTGAACCATGACCAAATTCGAACTTGGCCTGCGCATTCCAAATATCCATATGTCAAATTTGAGTTGAATGTGTAATACTGTTGGGGAGGTAATAAACGGAAACTGAAAATTTCATATTATTTTCAAAGTGAAAGGGGCATAACTCTGCCAAAAATCATCAAAACCATGACCAAATTTGAACTTGACCTGCGCATTCCTTTGACGTATCCATATGTCAAATTTGAGTTGAATGTGTAATACTGTTGGGGAGATAATAAACGGAAACTGAAAATTTCATATTATTTTCAAAGTAAAAGGGGCATAACTCTGTCAAAAATCATCGAACCATGACCAAATTCAACCTTGACCTGTATTTTCTCATGACATATCCATATGTCAAGTTTGAGCTTCCATTATATGGCGGGGGCATAAAAATAGCCGAGATGTTCCGATTGTAGGCATAGGTCTATACAATAAAATTGGACGTATTTTTTTATTTATCTAACTCCATTTTTTTTTTTTTTTTTTTTTTTTTTTTTTTTTTTTTTAAAAA